CCAGTTAAAAGTGGATATGCCAGTTGTTTGCTGTTGAAAATTCGGGGATAGATTGAGCTGTTGATAAAAACTTGTGATGAGTAGCAGGATTCGATGGCGTTCGACTTTTTTAGAACATTTGCGAATTACATTTCCACGATTTTTGTCTGTTGCAGGTTGTTTGACGTCTAGCCAATGGAAGGCGCGGCAGTCGTAGTGGAGGAGATGGTGCAAGGAAGCGGAGAGAGTTGGACACGAGGGCCGAGTGTTTCTCGTCTTCATACATCGACCAGGAACTTGGACTGTACTGGAAGGGTGTGACTGATTGGAAGATCGGGCGTGGCCGACCGGAGAGAATCCAGGGGTGAGAAGAGCTTGGCGATGAGAGATGAGAAAGATGGTGAGGCGCGCGACGACGATCACAATAAGTCTTTTGTTTCGTTCTTTAGGCTTTAGGCAGACTTGTGCGATTTTTCATGAACTCGGCTGCGGATTCATAGATCTATGATACCGTCTGCGAAGCGATAATCGTTTTAAGTCCAGTTAGTTCTTACTGTTTAATGTAAAAAATCGAAATTTTTTTTATACAAATTTTACCATTAGAAATTCGTGACGTAGATCACTGGCTGTTTATTTTTTATCTGGTGTTGGATTAACGACTTTTGGGGTACGACGCACTTACTACGTATTATATTATTATAATATATATTATTATTTATGCGTTTTAAATGTGTTCACGGTGAGTTCAGGTGTTTCAAGTGTTCAAGGTGGGGTATTTTAATATTTACGTTGTTTATCATTTGTCGAAGGATACTGAGGATTTGATTCTGGCACACGTCCACCGCATCGTCCACCGCACCTCAAGCAGAATATGATACATTGTTGCGTGTTCCGTTATGTATACTCGTCTTAGATGCATGTACACTGTTACGTGTTTTAACGTGTTTTGTGTGTTTACGCGTTTCTTTCGCAGGATTAACTGAGGATCTGCTGGGCGGCGTTGATCTTCCTGCAACGCACCGCATCGTCCATTCGCGACTCAAGCCCGCAGAAATCTTGCTCACGTCACCACCGGGCTGGGCCGCGCTGCAAAGATCGAGACTTCCTTGCCTCATATCTGCGCGGTGCTTACAGTGTTTCATGGTTTTCCGTCCGTGTAAGATATTCCAGGTTACGCTCGGCAGGTTGGCGCGGACCCTACCTGCGGCTGCCGCCAACCACGTCGTGAGATGGACGGCTCGGGTAGATAGATTGTGTCGGAGACCAGTCAGAAGATTGGTTGATCTTTTGAGTGGGCGACGTGGCTGCGCAGCGCACGTAGTTTTGTCAATGTTATACATCGCCGGTTGGTGAAATGTTCCTGTGTTTAATATGCGCGTTGGTCAAAATAGTGGATGAACCGCGCAGAAGAAGTTAGAAATGTGATTTGCCTAGGTTGATATTGGGATATAGATAGTTAGAATATTGAGAATGTGCGTTTATGGTTATGGTTGATGCGTTATTTTTTTACAAACTGGGCATTACCTCTTTGTATATTATTTCTCCTTTAGGAAGCCTGGATGAGAAGTGATAGTGATGTTAGTTGAAAGGTTTTGTTTAGAAACGATAAGATTGTCGTGGGTTTTTGTGCGCTTTTGTTGGATCGCGGGGGGAGGGTCCAACGTTTTGACGTGCGTTAAGAGCTCAGTAAGATTTTTAGTTTTATGGTGGCATGTAGGTGGTGGAGAAGGCTTATGTTGGGGTGTATAAGCTAAACCATTGTGTTAGAATTGTGGTATTTGATGGGACAAGATGTCTAATTGGTCTGAGATAGGTACAATGTAAGAGGCGAGGATGTACGTTAGTGGGAGAGGAGGGTCCAAATGTGTAGAGAGGAGGCGGGAGACGCCACACAGCGCGCGCAAGGTGGTGCGTTGCTGAATATCGATTTGAGTTGCACATAGTTCGCTTGTCGTAGTGAAGTCGGCGAACAAAAGGTCATCATAAGTAGGCGAGTTTAGTGTGTTTGAAGAATGAATAGTATGTTTAATTGTGTAGTTGTGTGGGAATTAAATACCGAGATGTTTAAGAAGGATGAATATTATCTAACTCTTAGTTAAGTTCCAGTGGGATGCCTCCGGCGCACACGTTGTGCGGATTTTATCGCTAGTTACGCGGCGATTAACAAATCGCCACGTGTGCGTGTGTGATATTAAGTAGGTGAAATTAAATATTTAAATTCCGCGTTGTTTGGAGTGTGGTGACACCATAGATATGAGTAATCAGGTCCGAGTGGCGCAGAAGTTGTTCGACGACGCAGCTGAGCTGTCTCAGCGCAGGACCCCAATGATTCGCAATTCGTGTGGTAGCATGTGGAGACTGTTTGATAAAATTCCACGTGTGCAGAGCATGCCTGATTGCAAAGCATAGGGTTTTAGGAAGACCTGAATATGTGGTCCACGATAACCGCGTTCGTCCTCAAGTTAGTCATAAGGAATATATTTGTAATGCTTTTACATATTTTCTGTTTTATTTCCTATCTCGCTGTAAGTCCTCATCGCCATAGATGTCACGGGGGATCTCTACTCTCTCTATCTGTACCATTGGCATGGTTCTGCCAGTATTTTTCTCTAACGATGTTTCGTCTCCTCCCCTCTGTCCTGTCCTTCCATACCACGGGCGCTGCACATATTTCGAATCACGGTGCTTAATCATGCCATGCCATTGACCTTGGGACCTTAATCCAAACAAAAAGCTCGTAAATCAATGCAGGATGCGCAGCTGGAATCAAGTCGCCAGCTCGCCAAGCTCACACGTGCCCGATGTGGACTTTCGTGCCCGACTTTTGGCAACAATATATCAAACCTGTGTTTGAGTCCTTTCCATGCCGATTCGAAGTTCTGCGCGTCAAAATTTGCTATCGTTCCATTGCGAGCGCCACAACGTCGGCCCAAGATATTCTCTCTCGCGCGATTTTTTGTTGCTGGCAAAATAATTTCGTCCCTGTTGCTAGTGCATAAAAATAAGATGCGCAACTCTTCTCGATGGTTGTGGTGCATGTCTGCAGCAAGTTGCGTCTGTCTGTGGTTTGACTGTCTGTTAGAAGGGGAATTCATTATATTGCTAAAGCGATGTGCATTTTACCACCGTTAACCCCCGCGGTCAACCCTAGAGAGGAAAGCTGCAAAGATTGGCTAAATATTTTAATTATATCATATCACTTGAAATCATGTTCTGCACCCTTATTATAATTCTTACTCAATTATTTATATTAATTATTGTTACATTCCCCTCATCACAGCTGTTCAGATATATGCCCTCTTACTAGACCCATGGCCATCATTTGTGTCCGGTCTGTATTTCTTATTAGTTCATTACTTTCCTTCTAATGCAAAGTTAATATAACCAACGCGTGGAATAACATTCTTTTTTTATTCTTGCAGGAGATCTCGTTTTTCTTAAAACGCGGGTTCAAGTTATTGCATAATCGACCTAGAAGAGAAACAGCTTACAGGGTTTGGTCAGCCTGCTGAATTCTCACTGTCTCCATCAACGTTATACCACGGTATTCGTGCCTCAGTTTACGTTGTTTAGGCGTATATTCATCCACTAGCGCAGTTGCAAGCACCTATGCACTAATTGGTGACCACTCAGTACACCACAACTGCTTTCTACAAAGGCGTGCGGGATTAATTTTTCGCGATTTAGCACGCAGTTTTTCTAAGATAGCATTAAAGTCCGTTACGTTATGTAGTCATTTTTTATTACTGAGGTGCATTAGATATTACGTTTTGTGCCCGCATAAATCAATGTGCTTAGATCTCATTAAGTTTTGAAGTTTATTCTCGTATCGAGAGTAAGAGTGGGAAACATTGAAATTAAAGATTTGATAAGAGAAATTGTTTTTGGCCTCAGCAACTTTTCTCGATGCAAGTCTTGGGTTAGTTTCATTGGCCAGGTAGCTAATCTTAACGC